GTTTCACCATGTTGACCAGGATGGTCTCGATCTCTTGACCTCGTGATCCACCCGCCTCGGCCTCCCAAAGTGCTGGGATTACAGGCGTGAGCCACCGCGCCCGGCCAGAGAGGTGGGACTATTAAGAGGTGATTGGGTTATGAAGGATTAATGGGCGATCATGGGCAGAACTGGTGGTTTTATAGGAAGAGGAAGGGAGACATGAGCATGCTCAGCCTCCTTGCCACCTGTACTGGTCTGTTCTTGCATTGCTGTAAAGAAATACCTGAGACTGAGTAATTTATAAGGAGTAGAGGTTTTTATGTTGTTGTTGTTGTTTGTTTGTTGTAAGAGACAGAGTTTTGCCCTGTCACCCAGGCTGGAGTGCAGTGGCAGAATTTCAGCTCACTGCAATTTCTGCCTCTCAGATTCAAGTGAGCATGATGGCTCACCCCGTTACCCCAGCACTTTGGGAGGCCAACGCAGGAGGATCCGATCCCTTGGGCCCAGTTTAAGGTTGCAGTTCCATCATGGAACCTGGTCATCTCTTAGGTGGAATGGCCTTTGAGACAAAACATAAAAGAGGATGGCGAGTATATCTCGCATCTTAATCATGTTACTGATACCAGTGCCATATTTTGACATGTAAAATTGATACTGAGATGCCAGCAAGGTCATTTTATCTCAGTTTTACAACAGCTAATTTGAAACCACAAGCAGTGAGCAGACCGCATGCTGTCACTGGTCCGGAGGACACTGCAGTATTTGAATGGTGAGAAGTGACAGCACTCAGAAAAGGACATGCCAGATTTCTATGGCTTCTTTACCCTAGGGTCTCAAAGGACATTATTGCTTTCAGTAGCTCTCATTCCTTAGAAAATAGTGCACCAGAATAATTCATCCCTAAGAACTCTAGATGATTGGTATTTTACCATTTTTACTCCATCCCAGTGCCAAGCTTCAGTGTTTTTCTAGTGTGATTGATATATTAGAATTTTTACTTTATAAGCTGTGATGCAGCCATAATACGTTTTGGCCACTTTAAGTTTGGAGCTTTTATGATTTCACATTGAATAAAGGTCTGGAAATGTAACACAGCAGTCTGGGTAATGGAAGCAAATAGCCTGTTTTTGACAGAATTATTATTTAAAAGCAGAATTAAATTATCTTTCTAGAATTTAGGGGTACAAATTCTCTACCCTCAGCCTTTGACCTATAACCTCTTTAGGAAAAAGGACTCATTTCTCTGTCTCTAATCTTTCATAACCAGAAAATACCAAATAATTAAGTGCACCTGTTCAACAGCAAAATATACCTAAAATAATCAACATACAAAGTAGAACCAATAGTTTCTCTAATTTTTAGAATATCTAAAAAAACCCCAACAACTTATGCTGGCATTTTGTAGTATAACTTGATTTATTTCAGGATCTCATTGTAAAAAACACGAACATATGTAGCATATCATGTAACTGCAACAAAATAGTTTGAAAGTGTTGAAGTTGGGGCTTGGCGTGGTGGCTCACACCTGTAATCCAAGCACTTTGGAGGCCAAGGCAGGCGGATCACCTGAGGTCGGGAGTTCAAGACCAGCCTGACCAACATGGTGAAACCCTGTCTTTAAAGAAAAAAAAAAAAAAGTGTTGAACTTGGAACAATCCTAAAGATCATACAGTCCCACCTCCTACCAACTGTAGTCACCCTAAATCAATGACATTCCACCTCTGCTACAATGGCAGCATAGAATGTGTTACTTT